AAAACAAACCTAATTGCCCCTAAATTTAGCACATTCCCTATTTCAAAGAGGGACTTTAAGAATTATCCAGGCACAGTGGGGCATGCCTGTAGTCCCTGCTACTCGGAAGGCTGAGGTGAGAGGATCCTTTGAGCCCAGGAGTTGGAGTCCACAGTGAGCTAAGATCACGCCACACTCCAGCCTGGGCAACAGAGCAAGATCCTGTCTTAAATAAATAAACAAATAAATAAATGCTTGGAGGCATCAGCACATCCCACTGTGATAGTGATTGTTTAAAGCAGAGGTTCTCACCCAGGTGTGGTTCCACCTCCCGGGGAACAACCGGCAACATCTGTAGGCATTTGTGATTGTCAAAACTGAGGAAGAGGTGCTGCTGGCATCTGATGGGTGGAGGCTAGAGATGTTGCTACACATCCTACAAGGCACAGGACAGCTCCCCAAAGCAGAGACTAATTGGACTCCACATAGGAATGTTGCTAAGAGTAAGAAGCCCCAGGTTACAGGATGGATACATGACCCAATTGGAGTGGACAGAAAATCAACCACATTTGTAGAAGTTCCTCCATCCCCTGGAACGTGTAACATGGCCTGTGACCTTTGCACTTATTTTGCGAACACAGAGAGAAGGGCTGGAGCCATATGGAGTGGGGAAGAGAGGTTAGGCTGGGCACCATGTGGAGCCTGAGGGTGCAGATGATGCCCAGAGAAAGCTGCAGAGATGAAGAAATACTCAGCCCTTGTCATCTCACTTGAGCCACTAAATCAAATCTACCCTGAAGCTAATCCAAGCTAAACAAACAAACAAATTCTTCTTTAAAGCCAGCCGAGTTGACTCTTGTGTCATTCGCAACCAAGAGAACTCCAACTAACAGGTAGAGTCAATGGACATTGTATCCCATCCTCCTTTTCTGGAGGGCAGCAGTGTAAACACAACCTTCTCTTGGAGCACAATTTGTTGCAAGAAACAGAAAGCCACCCAAGCTGGCATAGGTAAAGAAGTATTTATTAGGCTGGTCCGAACGTAGTGAGTTATCTCACGTGATTGTTCACAGTCAGTTACAGATTGAACTCCTTGTTCTACTACTTTCCCCCCTCCTCACTACTGCACTTGACTAGTCTTAAAAAAAAAATTAAAAAAAAAAAGAAAAAAAAAAAAGAAGTATTTATTACATGAGTTCAAGATTATCTCCAGAACCCAAAGTAGCAGGAAGTAAAAGTGAGATTCATGCCAGCATCAGGCACTTAGAAGGCAATTAATAAGTACCTGTTGATATCAATGGAATGAATGCTGAATTAACTGGAATTGATTGCATTGGGAACGAATACTCTCCCCAGGCTTCAGGAGCCATTGGAGCTCTCATTTCTGATTATTAGCCGGATATTAGCTCCATTCTTCTGCTCTGCTTCTTGCATCAGCACCCACTGCCTCAAATTGGCCACCCATATGTCTTAATCTGCTGGTGGCCTTAAAAGCTCCACCAACGGATAACTTTCTTATCATCCCCATCAAAGAAAGTTCTCGAGCCAGGGAATCCAATTGGCTCATCTCAAGCCAGGTGAGCCCACCTGATCTGATCAGTGGAGTCATCGGCCAAAAATGGAAGCATGAGTGGGCAGGCAAGTAAAATGGGTTTACCTCCCAAATGGGAGCTTGAGTTAGTCCTGAGGAAAACCCCACCAGCACCCACCCACTCCCCACCTAACCCAGACACAAACCAGTGACACTGGGTGTTAACTATTCCTTTATTAGGTGGTGAGGGGGGTGGGGACTGTACAACGCAGGACCTGGGAATTCAGCTACACAGGGATTGTGACCAGAAGCCATATTACAAAAATAGCCTAAAAATACTTCTATTCTGCCATGAGGCCGGGCCAGGGGAGTACCAGGGAGAGGTGCCACCTGGGCAGCTCCTCTCTTTTCCCGAAGTCCCATATTTACATGGAGACAAAGTGGAATACACACACCTCCCCCGGCCCTCATTTCCCACCAGCCACCCCGCAGTTCCCGAAGGGAGGCGGCCCAGGCTTTGGGGGTGGTTGGAGCTGCAGGTGGGTTCTCAGGCCAGAAGGGCCCTTCCCCTTGAAGGCTACAAAACAAGTCCCATCTGGAATGCAGTGAAGTGAGGGAGGAGGGGTGGGGAGGAGGCTCCCAACTTTCCCCCGGATCCCTGGCCCCGGAGCGTGCGCCCAAGGGTGCCTACTTGGTACATACCCGGGTCGTGTACTTGGTACACGGGATCCCAGTCATGCCTGTGTACTCGGTACACAGAATCCAGCTTGGCCTAATGGGCCCACAGACTCAGCCCCACAGGGGCCCTGGGGGATTCGGAGGGGGGGAGGGAGCATCTCCATATATATATTTTGTAAAAAATAATAATAATAATGTTTGCTTAAATGAATTTGTTTCTATACAAAACGTGTAAAAAAAAAAAAAAAGGAAAGAAAATAATAATAATTCACTCATTTCAGAGTGTGAGCAAATGAGAGGCCAGGAGGGGCAGGAAAGGAAGGAGGGAAGAGAGAATTCTGGGGGGAAGGCAAGAGGGGGTTCCCACCCATTCATAAATAAAGGAAGACTGAAGCCCTGGGCTGGGGACCTGTCTGGGTCACACCGCAGGGCAAAGGTGCAGGAGGACTGGTGGAGAGAGTGCAGGAAGAGAATGGGAAGACTCAAAGGGAAGGAGAGAGGGGGAAGAATCAGGATGGGATGTCTCTTCAGCCCCCCAAGATCCAGGAGCGCAGGTGTGTCTCAGGCCAACACCTGCCTCTTGGGGGTGACTTCCGGCTGGGGCCCCAGCTGGGTCTGGGCCTGAGCGAGCGCGCTGGGGACAGGCAAGGGCTGGGCGGGCAGCGCCCCGGCGGCGGTGGCCGTGGCCGCGGTGGCCGTGGCCGGGCTGGGCGTGGAGTCGGACCAGTCCGAGAGGGAGGGGGGCGACGGGCTGGCCCAGTGCTCGGGGGACTCGGGGGACGGGGTCAGGTAAGGGTGCTCGCTGGGGACGCGCAGGAAGCGGGCCTTGGGGGGGCTGCCGCGAGCCCCGGCGGCCGGGTACTCCTCGCCGTGTCCCGGGGCTGCCAGGTAGGGCGGCGGCCGCTCCTGGGGGGAGACGGGGGCCCCGGCGTTGAGCAGCTGCGGTCCGGGGGCCAGCGGCAGCAGGAACGAGGGGCCCGGCGGGGCGGGCGGGGGCAGGCGGGCCCAGTCGAGGGGGACGGCCACGGGGTTCAGCAGGCCCAGGCTGAGCACGCAGCCCCCGGGGGGCTGGCGCCCCAGACCCGCCCGGCCCGCGCCGCCCAGCTGCGCCAGGGACACCGCGGTGGCCGCGTAGGGGCCCTCGAGGGGGAAGCCGCCGGGGGACGCGGGGGGCCCGCCGAAGGGCCGCGGGGAATCCAGCGAGTCCACGGGCGACAGCGTGACCGAGCTATCGGCCAGGGGGCCCGGGCAGGCCAGAGTCAGCTTCTTGCCGCGGCCCCGGGTGCCCTGCGGCCCCAGCCCCGCCTTCCCGGGGGGCCTCCGGCTCTTCTTGGCGCCCGACTGTGCCGCCTTGAAGCCCGGGAGGAAGGCCCCCGGCGGGCAGAGCAGGGGCCCCAGGCCGTGGGGGCCCGGGGGGCTGCGGGGCCCGCTGGGCTGGTCCAGCAAGCGCACGATGTCCTGGTGCAGCCGCTCCTGCGCCACGTCCCGAGGCAGCCTGTCCAGGTGGTCGGTGATCTCGCGGTTGGCGAAGTGGTCCAGGAGCAGCTTGGCGGCCTCGTAGCTGCCCTCGCGGGCGGCCAGGAACAGCGGGGTCTCCTCCTGGGGGCCCCGAACCCACACGCGTCAGGGTCGGCCTGGCCAACACCGGCAAGCTCTTCCAGCCTCCGGGGGCCCTGAGAGCTAAGAGTCTGCCCGTGCACCTGGGGGACAACCTGGCCGCGCCAGGGGGAACCTGGGCAAGTTCCTTCCTTTAATCCACACTCATCCAGCACCTCCTAAGTGCCAGGCCCCAGAGCCAAGACTACGGTGGGTCACCGTGAGGTGCTCACCTTAGCCACGAAGTTTAAGGGGGCACCAAAAACCTCAGTCATCAAAGTAAATGGTATTTTTATGCAATGGTTTTTTTTGAAGAAAAAAAAAATAAGATTAATGTAAAAAAAAAATCAGCGGGGAGGGGGGGAAATGGGCATTTATTGAAACCTTAAAATCTGTACCCCCATAATATGCCGAAATAAAAAAAAAAAAACGAGAGGGTTGTATCACACAGAGTAGTCAACGGCATGGGCAAATTTCGTGTAAAAGAAGGCAAAAAAGTGGTAAAAAAAAAAAAAAAAGCAAGCAATAATGAATAAAATATTGAAATTTTAGGCTGGGCACAAGGGCTCATGCCTGTAATCCTAGCACTCTGGGAGGAGGCCGAGGCGGGAGGATTGCTTGAGTTAAGGAGGTCAAGACCACGCTGGGCAACAAAGAGACCCTGTCTCTACAAAAAAAAATAAGAAAAAGTAGCCGGACACAATGGTGCATGCACCTGTAGTCCCAGCTACGTGGGAAGCTGAGGTGGGAGGATCGGATGGCTTGAGCCCGGGAGTTTGAGGCTGCAGTGAGCTATGATGACGCCACTGCGCTCCAGCCCAGCCAACAGAGCAAGACTCAGTGTTTAAAAAAAAAAAAAATTGAAATTTTAAATACAAACAGAATCTGCCCTGCATGCCTCTGAGCTTCACCCTTCCCATTTGCAAAATGAGATTCCATAACACCACCTTGAGAGAATTTTTAAACAACAACGATCATAACAGTTACCTTTCACTGAGCACTGAGGACCTGCTAAGCACTTTGCAAATGCATTAGCTCCCTGAACCCTCAGGAGATGCAATGAAGTGGGTACTATTGCTTCCCCACTTCACAGATGAGGACTCTGAGGTTCAGAGAAGTTAAGCAACTTGCCCAAGGTCACACACAGCAACTGCCACAAACTTCCTCCTCTGATCCACTGTCAGAGCCTCTGTGCCCCAAATCCCACCCCCGAAAGCCGGCAGGGCCAATGTCCCCACCAGCCTTACCTCACCCCCCTCTCTGCCACCTGCAGGGGGCTGTGCCAGTAATGACGCCCAGGTGGGCCGAGGGCCAGGGCTCACCTTGCTGTCCTGCATGTCCTTGTTGGCTCCGTTTTTGAGCAGGGCCAACGTGGCCTCCACATTGTTCACAGCTGCGGCCCAGTGTAAGGCTGATTTCCCTGGGGGGGTGGGAGGAAGGAGGGAAAGTGAGGACCAGACCCAGGTTCCAGGCCCCCCACGGCAGGGAGGCTGGGGATTGTGTGTCATATGGCCTGCGGGGAGAGAGGGCAGGCCTGCCGTGAATATCCGGGCACCTGCGTTTGGGTCTATGTGTGTGCAGATCTGTAGAATGATTCTTTCTGTCCAAGCGTGTGGGGGGGCCCTCAATTTGTGTGTGTGTGTTTATGCACACAAGTGATTCTTCATACGCAGCAGGCACTTTGTGGACTCACTCGGTTGAACCCAGAGCTGTGCTGTGCAATGCAGTCGCCACTAATCACACGCAGTTCTTTCGATTTAAATTAAAATAGGTACCAGGACCATTCAATGAGGAAACAAGTAGTCCTCTCAACCAATGATGCTGGAACTGCATCTCCACATACAAAAGAATGGAGCCGAACCCCTACCTCACACCATATGCCCCGACGACCTCAAAATGAATCAGAGACCTAAATGTAACAGCTCAAACTATGAAACATCTAGCCAGGCATGGTGGCTCATGCCTGTAATCCCAGTGCTTTGGGAAGCTGAGGTGGGAGAATCACTTGAGGCAAGGAATTTGAGACCAGCCTGGGCAACATAGCAAGATCCCATCCCTAAAAAAAAAATAAATTTGTTTAAATTAGCCAGGCATGGTGGTATGTGCCTGTAGTTCTAGCTACTCAGGAGGCAGGGGCAGGAGGATCACTTGAGCCGAGTTCAAAATTACAGTAAGCTAGGATCAGGCCACTGTACTCCAGCCTGGGTGACAGACCAAGACCTCATCTCAAAAAAAAAAAAAAAATATATATATATATACACACACACATATAATCTATATAGAAGAAAAGAAAATATAGTAGTAAATCTTCAATCTTCATGACTTTGAATTAGGCACAGATTCTTAGATATGACACCGAGAACACAAGCCATGTTAACAACTAAATAGATAAATTAGACATCATCAAAATAGACTTTTGAGGCCGGGCGTGGTGGCTCACGCCTGTAATCCTAGCACTCTGGGAGGCCAAGGCGGGCAGATTGCTCAAGGTCGGGACTTCGAAACCAGCCTGAGCAAGAGCGAGACCCCGTCTCTACTATAAATAGAAATAATTGGCCAACTAACATATATATAGAAAAAAATGAGCCGGGCATGGTGGCGCATGCCTGTAGTCCCAGCTACCCGGGACACTGAGGCAGGAGGATCGCTTGGGCCCAGGAGTTTGAGGTTGCTGTGAGCGAGGCTGACACCACGGCACTCATTCTAGCCTGGACAACAAAGCGAGACCCTGTCTCAAAAAAAAAAAAAAGGAATGTAAATCAGAGCCACCCTGAGATATCACAGTACAATTCCTAGCAGCACCAGGAAGCCTATAATCAAAAAAGACAGATAGTATGGACCAGGTCCAGTGGCTCACGCCTGTCATCCCAGCACTCTGGGAGGCCGAGGGGGGCGGATTGCTCAAGGTCAGGAGTTCAAAACCAGCCTGAGCTATAAATAGAAAGAAATTAATTTGCCAACTAAAAACATATAGAAAAAATTAGCCGGGCGTGGTGGCGCATGTCCGTAGTCCCAGCTACTCAGGAGGCTGAGGCAGGAGGATCGCTCAAGCCCAGGAGTTTGAGGTTGCCATGAGCTAGGCTGATGCCACGGCACTCTAGCCCGGGCAACAGAGTGAGACTCTTGTCTAAAAGAAAAAGAAAAACAAAGAATTCTCTAACCCCTCCTTGCTAGTATAGCAGTGAGTAAAAAGTTGAAAAATATAAAATAAAATGAAAGAGTTGTCCGACCCTCTGGCGCTGACGTTGAGAACTCCTGCTCCACGTTGCTGTGGGCCTAGAGTTCGCCGCGCGTGAGGCCCGGCTGGGATTCGACGTGGCACCCGCACAGTGGGCCGGACCACAGGACACTCCCGGCCCAGAGCGCCACCACGGCAGCTTGGCGATGCAAATTACCGCAATGCCAACGGTGACGCAGTCGTAGTCCTGATAAGCGAGGAATACACGTCCTGAGGTGCCTTTCTTTCTTTCTTTTTTGAGACAGATCTCACTTGTTGGCCCAGGCATGAGTGAGTCGCCGTGGTGGTCACCTCGTTCACAGCAACCCAGACTCCTGGCTCAAGATCCTCCTGACATCAGCTCCAAGTACAGGACTACAGCATTGCGCCACCAAAGCCGCTCATTCGATAATATGTAGGTGGCCAATAACTCTACTTTTAGTAGAAGACGTCTCGCTGCTTCAGGCTGGTTGGACCACCCGAGCGATCCTCCGCCGGCTCCCAAGTGCGCGAGACATCGTGAGCAGCCGCGCCCCAGTGCCTTTCCAAATCCGAGCGCCAGCAAGGCTAGGGGCCGCCTGCGCAGTGCAGGCCAGAGTGAAGCCGGAGAGTGTTGAGCCTCGGGATCCGGGCCCGTGTGGGTGTGAGTTCACTACCGATGCCACGTCAGGCCAGTGCAGCCACCCACCGCCTGCTCCAGCCCCACCCGCCAGGTCCTCTGCCAGCCTACCCAGCCGCCACGCGTTGACGCGGCGTGCTGCGATGAGCTCTCCCACCATTGCCCTCCACCGGCCAGCGGGCCGCCAGATCAGCGCCCGTGACCCGTCGCCATGCGGCTCCAGGCTGTAGAGCGGTTTCCGGAAGAATCTTGGGGGAAGACAGAGAGAAGAGAGAGACCAGAGAAGAGAGAACAGAGGCCAGAGCACCCTGGCTCCCCTGAAGTCCACCCGTAGCCGAAGGTTGGATGAGATCCAGGACGGGCTGCTCAAGACTGTATTCGTGTCCCATTTCCACCATAAACGTTGAGGATTGTTTTGTTGTGTTTGAGAAGGGTCTCAGAGCGGCTCAGTTGCAGCCAGCCACAGCACCCAACCCGGGCCAAGCGATCTCTCCCCTCACCTCCCGAGGATGTCGGACTGACAGGCACACCACCATGCCCGCAATTTCTGTAAAGTAATGTCCAGCTAATGCTTCTACTTTATAGAGACGGGTCTCGCTCTTGGCCAGGCTGGTTCTCGACTCCCGACCTCCGAGCGATCTCTCCGCCCGGCTCCCAGAGTGCCGGGATGACGCAGAGCCGCAGCACCCGGCCACATGAGCTCTACAAAGGCAGCTCAGCCCCAAGGCGCGCACACGCCGGCCGGCCTGGCATCGAAGCACCAAGGCAGGTTTCTCACTGGAAGACCCCCTGGGCATCGGCGGTGACGGCCGGTGTGCAAGGCGTCCGTCTGAGTGCCTGCCGTTAGTCCCCTGCGTCCAGCAGCTTGCGCGTCGCCAGCGTAGCGGGCGCCCAGGGCAGGGCTCGTGCGGTCCGTTCCGGCCCGAGCTGGCGCCTGGCAATCATGCCAATGATCGGCTGAGGCGTCACCGCCCTCCCTCCTCGGCCGCGTGGCAGGCCCCTGCCGCAGAAGGAAGCCAGCATTAGCGGGGTGAAGCCGTCTGCAGGACAGATCCTGTCACGGGTAGTGGGCACCTCGCCTCGAGCGATACCCTCATGACGCCCGTTCAGGGGCAACGGGAGACGTAGGAGGGCAAGGAGTGACGGATCCGCCCACCCGCCCAGCACCCAAGACGAGAACCCTGGGGCTGTGATTGCGCGGAACTCCAGGACAGGACACAGGTGTGAGGAAGAAGGATGTCAAGAAGCAAGGCAAGCAACACATCGGAAATTCCGAAGGTATTTCCAGCTGACGCCGCAGGGGACTCGAACCTAGTGTGCCCAGAGTATAACCAGCTCAAGAAGAAGGAATGAAGGAAGGAAGGAGGAGAGAAGGAAGGAAGGAAGAAGGGGAGGGAAAGGAAGGGAAGGAAGGAAGGAGAAGAAGGAAGGGATAAGAAGGGAAAGGGGAAAGGAAAGGAAGGAAGGAAGGAAGGAAGGAAGGAAGGAAGGAAGGAAGGAAGGAAAGAGAAAACATCCCTTTCATACTCCTGCATCCACTAGCTATGGGCCACCCCCAGGGACATAAAATCCCAGGCATTTCTGGCCCCAGTAGCCAGAGGGACTTTAAAAGCAAGCCACAGTGCAGGGCACCTGGAGCAAAACCAGAACAAAGCTGGGGCGGGAACACCCTGAAACGTGGTAAAGATGGCTCTAACAGGGTCCAGACACCATAGCCTGCTACACTCTGCATGGCCCTCTGCCCTGGTTTTCCTCGGGAAGCTGCCTGCATCCCATTCTCCATCCTCAAGCCCTAGGTAGAGCCCAGTCCCCTTCCCTGGCTCCAGGACAGGTATGCGGGCCTGGCCTGATTAATCTGCATATTCCCACCCCCTGGCCACACTGATTGGCTCAAATGACAGTGACCCTATCCTGCCCCAACGAAATGGCCTGGGACTTTGCGGAGCCATTGAGAAGAAGGTTTCGTTTTGGAAGATAGGAGCCTAGGGACAGAAGAGAGAGAACCAGGCCTGGATCCCAAATGTTGCCGCCTCTTCCAGTTCACATGATTAGAAGACCCGAATTCTATTAGCTAGTTTGAGTGGGGCTTTTGTCATTTCAACAAGATCTTTGTTTATTTTTGAGACAGAGTCTCACTCTGTTGCCAGCGCAGAGTGAGGCCGTGGTGTTCAGCCAAGCTGCACAGCAACCTCTAAACTCCTGGCTCAAACGATCCTGGCCCACCCTCCAAATAGTGGACCACAGGCATGCGCTCCACCAGCGCCCGGCTCATATTTCTATATATTATTAGTTGGCCAATAATTCTTCTAATTTATATAGAGTTGGGTCTGCTCTTGCTCAGGCTGTCTCGAACTCCCGACCCCTACAACCCGCCCAGCCTCCAGCCTCCAGAGTGCCAGAGACAGGGTGGCCACCGCGCCCGGCACAACAAGAGTCTTATTCGCAACACACACACAACACCACCCCACAAGAAGTCCTAACAGCCCAGGTCTCCTAGAACACAGGCTCAGATGTCACCTCTCACAAGTAGGATGGATAAGGGGCACCCCATGGGGTGGGGGGGGGGCACCGTGCCTGACCTGGCCCTCGCACGTTGACATCCATGCCGTCGGCATCTGCGTCCCCCTGAGGCGGTGTCGGCGCCATGGCCGGGGCCACACGGATGTCGGCGGCAACCAGGTGGTGTTGAGTCCACTGGCGGTAATCCACAGCCTCCTCGGCCCCCACGCCAGGCTCCTCCACCTGGGGGGACAGGGACACAGGTCCTCGGATCTCACCCTTTGGAGACTGGGAGAGACACCCCCAGGGACAGGGCTGGGTGTTCCCGCAGGACCGTCCCGCGGACCTGCACACATAGCCCTGGGAAACCGTTAGCAGTTAGCTGATTTTTTTTTTTTT